ACCATTACCGGTTTGGTAACGCTTAGTCTAGATCCCGCGACCAAGGACAGCGAATTCATGCAGATCAAGTATCACAAAGACCAGGCGAATGACAAGGATTACAGTCATGAGGGAGTGGGTTTTAGCTTCAAGAAGTGGCAGGCGGACAACGTGGTAAAACACATGGACACGCCCGAGCTCAAAGAATTCGAGCAAGACAAGGGCGCCAACAAGGAACATGTTCGAAAGTATGGAAGTGGAAAGGAAGAAGGTAACGCCCCAAAGAAGGATTTTACGAACTAGTCAACGGGTCTGATGAGCAGCTGGTACAACCAATATACTCACCAATATAATTTAAATTCTTTTTCCACAACTCCAATAACTTGGTCGCTTAGCTCAGTTGGTTAGAGCGTGGTGCTAATAACGCCAAGGTCGCGAGTTCGACCCTCGTAGTGACCATTACAGCCTTTCTTTTTGCTTTTTGAGGATATATACTGATGGAATTCCTTCTTTTTTTTTGCTGTTGTGGGTGTCTTTGAATGGGGGTTGGACGGTGACCACACCAACCACGATATTGACCTCTGTGAAAACTTCAATGGCTGGGTATACCACATTCACAAAGCAAACTACTTGTATAGTTATCAAGCCTATTGCCATCTACAGCAATATTAAACATAGACGCCATGTATGTGATTAGGTTAACGTAGACCATACGTTCATATATGGTCCAGTATGACCATAAGTATTGTAGGTTGCAAACATAATCATTCATAGCGTGCTGACACTGCAAAACAGTATGTTATACAAGTCAGTCATTCAAGTATATTCGTTCAGAAGCTGGTGGACCTCATTATAGATTACTCCTCCAACCGCCCGAGCTATCTAGATTACTAAAGCAAAAGGCCACCTTCATTGCTTCATCAGTTGATTTACCCCAAGCCGTACCGCGCAGTGCGTATCGCAGGACACTGTAATAAATGCTGGCCGATACCACGCAATGAAAATGCTCATGGCCAGAATATATAACACAATCGCTATAATCCGGCCACGCCACCGAGAAGAAGGGAAGGAGGCTATTAAAGATTATAAAGGGATGACGAAGTGTTCAACCCGTCTATCTTCCATATGCCTGTGCCGTGTCGTTGAGTAGGGGATTAAAAAGGGGGTTTGGGTAAAGTCTTGCAATAAAAGAGAGTAAGAAAGGTGAGAAGTGTGCTTTTGTGCATCTTGTACAAAAGATTTTCGGTGGTCAGGTGGATAATGATTAACTGCTTAGACGAAGTAAGCGAGAGCAGCGGCACCAGCCATGAAGGCAGCAAGGGGCTTGGTGGAGCTGGCGGCACCAGTGTACTCAGGATAGCCGGGGGTGGTAGCCGAAGAAACGTGTCCAGTGGATGACGAGGCAGGAGGAGTGGCCTTGTAAGAGGATGACGGACCGAGAACGACAACACTGGTAGATGCCTCAGGAATGGGGACAGATTCAGTGACGATAGGAGGAGGAGGAGCGTAGTAGGAAGATACTGGGGGAACGATGACAGTGGTAGATACCTCGGGAACGGGGACAGACTCGGTAATGACAGGAGGAACCACAGGGTAGGTGGAGGGCCCGGGTACAACAACAGTGGTAGTAGTGTCAGGGCAAGGTGTCGATGACTCCTCTGGAACTTCAGGTGTCGAGCTAGGGGGAGGGACAACGATGGTCGTGCTAGACTCGGGGCAAGGAGTAGACGACGACTCTGGCACCTCAGGCGTGGAGCTTGGTGGCGGGACTACAATGGTAGAGTAGATGGTCGTCTCCTCTGGCACGTAGGGAGTTGAGCTTGGAGGTGGCACCGTGACGGTCTCAGTCTCCGGGCAAGGAGTGGACGATGATTCAGGAACTTCCGGTGTATAGCTTGGTGGGGGGACTACGATGGTAGTAGTAGAGACCTTGGGAGTCGAGCTGGGGGGCGGCACGGTAACAGTCTCTGTATCTGGGCATGGGGTGCTGGAGGATTCGACCGGAGGAATGTAGGTAGAAGTCACAACTGGGGGAGTGTAGGTAGATGTAATAACCGGATGGGTGCTGGTCTCTTCACAGGGTGTGCTGGAGGACTCAACGGGAGGAGTGTAGGTGGAGGTGACAACCGGAGGCGTGTATGTAGATGTGACAACAGGAGGAGTGCTTGTCTCATCACATGGCGTGCTGGATGATTCCACCGGTGGAGTATAAGTTGAGGTAACGACTGGAGGAGTGTAGGTAGATGTAATAACCGGAGGGGTGCTGGTCTCTTCACAGGGTGTGCTGGAGGATTCAACAGGAGGAGTATAGGTTGAAGTAACCACCGGGGGAGTGTAGGTGGAGGTGACGACAGGCGGAGTGTAAGTTGATGAGGATACGACAGGAGGGACAGTGCTCGAGACCTCTGGGACGCTGCTGCTTTCCTCATCGCAAGGAGTGCTGGACGCCTCGGGAGGGGGTCCGCCATATCCACTGGAGATTGCTGGAGTCTCGGAGGATGAAGGAACATCGTATCCGGCCTGTGTATTGTCAGAACTTGACGATCGAACAATTGGCGATCTCGGTGACGACTTACAGAAGACGGCATAGCATAGCCGCCGGTAGATGCGCCGTACTCGCCGCCGTACTCGCCACCAGACTCTCCGCCGCTCTCACCACTCCACTCTCCGCTAGACTCTACGCCCTTGGACTCTCCGCCCCAGGATCCGCCATATCCCTTGTGTCCGCCGTAGCTACCTCCGCCATGGGGAGCAGCGTAGACAGCGCCCACAAGGGCCATCATCGCGAAAGAGTATCTCATCTTGCTTGGGATGGGGATTTTCTGTTTGTATCAAAGTTGATCAAGTCGGTGGTGCGGAATTGAAGTAACAAAGCAACCGTAGCGAAAGAGCTGCTGTAGAAGTGTTCGAAGACTTAGTAGAACTTGAATGGCACGACAGATAAGACAGAGGAGAAGGATATCCTTAATATACTCACTAGGAGAGGCGGGATCTCCGCAGTCTACCAGCCTTCTGCTTTGCCATACCCGTAGAAAGCCACAACGGGGTCACATCCACGCACGACGGTTGAGGGGCACCGAAGTCGTTCTCCACAATCATGCGAACGGAATTTAGTTCAAAGTCTCCACAAGTCCATCATGGTTGTAACGTCGATCGTACCATGAAATGAGGCTCCTTCAGAGTGTGAGACATGTCTAGCAACGCTCGCTGGCCAAATTTGCCCTAGCAACCGGCCAACACTTTCCGTGGTCAGCCCACGGCTACACCAAGTTCTATCGAGGTGCATGAAGCTTACCAGAATAGTCCGTACAGTAAGCCTTGAAAGGAAACGGCGTCCAATATAGGGCTGGCAGCATTGAAAGTTGGGGCTTACAGCTGTACTCCAGCCACCATAACAAAGACTAACTGGCAGTGACATCACGCAGTCTAGAAACGGCATAGCTCCCCAGCTGCACAAACCGAGCGCTGTAATACTGGCCTCCAAACCGTGTCTTCATATTGTTTGGTACCATTCGGTGAGATAAAGATCATAATATAAATCCGGATCTAGGCAATTAACCTGCATTGCGCGAAGTAAGTGCCGTTAAGGCATCGTGGGTTCATCTCTCGCGAGCCACGGGCTATGCATGGATGGTGAGACTCCGTGGAATAGTGCTGCTAATCGAATATCTGGACACTGCTGATATCGGTCTTGAGCAATATAGCGAAAAACAAAGTTCCTTTCCCTTGTTGTTCAAAGACTGTAAAGTGGAAATTTACGCTCCGTGACAAGGATCCCGCCACACAATTTCCCAACTTCTGCTGAGCCTGGAACTGCGCAAACTAAGATTCTCGCTCCTTCAAATACGGGAAGTACTCAGACGCGGCAAGAAGACGTGTGCATTGCGCGAACTGTTTCCCGTGTTCATGCCACCCGTGGGAAAAGCGTAGCCAGTCTCAATAGTTTTGACTGTTTGAACCAGCCACTGTTAGTAGCTAAGACCGTAGCTGCAGATACATGTATTGAAAACCAGTGAGTTACTATATCGTGAAAGCCTCAGCGCAACGCGGTTGGTGGACTCCCTGAAGACTGGTAGTGTCCCAGCAGGCTGGCGTAACGTTCGCTTGCCTCCGTTACCCCGCATGGCTCCAACCAGTACCTGCAGTCTTGCAGAGCACGATCGTGATACTTTTGTGGCTTGAAGTTCCCTTTCTTGTCCTCGTGAAGATTTAATCACGCGTCAGCTTGAAAGTCGGCCATGATTCCTGCAGCTGCAGCCGCCGTTTGGCAGTGGGCTGAGAGGATCGCAGCACACTTGAAATTAGTTCTGCTGGTAGGACGAACAAGACCTGCCGCGTACTCCGGCATCGCTGCTCACTGGCGCTTCGCGCAAGCGGCCGTAATACCTGCGTACGCACAACGGTCGAACGGAAAGCTCCACCACCCTGCACAAGCGTAGGAAAAACGAGTTTTATCAATACCATCAGATCTCCTGTTGGTCCACCAGCAGATCATGACCTCGCTTTAAGCCAATCCTGGTTCCAGATTGCGATCACGAAACTGTTGCTAAGAGTGTGGAACATGCTATCTGTTGTCCTGTCGATCGACCCCTTGCTTGGAGTCCTAGAAGTATCGAAGCACGATGTGTGACGAGTGACATAATCTGATATCAGCACGGGAATATTGCCCAAAGATCGTTCGCAGGTTGAGGTTGATGAAAGCCTTTTTTCGTCCCTCAGTTTCTCCAGTTACAACTAGCAGCACCCCGACATCCGTCAGATCTTGGGGTTGCTCGATGATTGACAGTTCTTCCATAGCCCTGAGTCGTACTTTGACGAATCCACATGGGTAGTGCAGGTGGTCTCATACGTTGTGTTGCCTAGCAATCGTGTGACTGACAACCGACATGGTAGATTGAACTGGTGTGGCTGACTGATCACATACGCTGTGTACATTGACGCTGGTGGTAGACGCGCTGTATTTTCCAAGAAGATGCTGTGCACCAGATCCGTAAAAGCACGCCAAGTCTAGTACAGCTCCACTAATCGTCATCATCGCTTTCTGTACCACTATCCCAGCCTTCGTCGTACTCCTCTGCAAGAACTTGTAAGCCGTTACAAAGTGTTTCTTTTTCTTCGATGCCCGTCATCCGCTTGACGATTTGCTCCACTGCTCGGATCTGATCAGCAACAGCGGTACTTGTCGTGAGTCCAGTGTGCACGGCGAGCTTAATGGAGTGATCGGACCCTACGTCCAGTATCGACCGAGGAAAGCTGTCAAGTAGAGGAAATAGTAGTGGTGCGGCAAACCTGGATCGCATTAGCATACGTTCAAATTCCGGCGTCTCACCCTGACCATGCAGTGGACGTAACATCAACGTCGCAGCCACAAGAAGGGATCAAACAGTTGCAGACCCATCCAATCGCGATAAAGCATAGTGTAGTACAAAACGCAGATACTCACCTCTGCAATGCTGGTCCACTGTCGAACCTGTCATGAGGATCACGTTCGTTATCTTGAGACAGAACCCACTCCCCACGAGAAGCCTCTGCCCGTCCAAAAACGTGTTCTTTCTTTCCTTTCTTGGTAACCGTCCTATATTCGCGACTGAAGGTATCAATATCAAAATTACTTAGTCGATCGTCATTTTCACTAGTCTGCCTCGACGTCATGGAACCGACTTTTTCTGCTTGTTCGACTTCGTCCAAAGCTTTAGCTGACAAAACGTCTGGATCTGCCAAACTCATCTCGAGTTTTGCTATGCGTCGTTTTCCTGTACTGTTGATGGTGTTTTCTAGATCCTGGAGCGTGCCTCGTCCGCCCAAAGACGCTCTCAATCGTGAAGATATGGTCATGCTCTCCAGACCGACGACTTGCAAAGCTGCAATGTGCCAGGGCGACGTGGTGTCAACTGACAAGTAACCTGGTAATTTGGCGGGACTATTCGACATTGGCACATATACTGATGACTGCTCGCCAAGCACGTGGAGCGATCGTGCTGAATTCGTGATTTGTTGCAAACGTTTTTCCTAAAGTGTTTTAGCAATTCGCTGTATTGTGATGTTGAACAATGACCTACCCGAGGAGTTGTAGTATTGGCGCCGTGGTCACCCAAGCCCCAGGTCCAGATACTCAACTTTCCGTACTCGTCCCTCAATCTCTCTAGCCAACCTGAAGTCCAGCCTCCCCAAGCGTCGTCAACACCCGTGAAGATTTGCAGTCCCTGGATACCATCGCATTCTTCAACGAATGGCCGCAGGTCCCTATCGACTAAGTCTACCTCCCTCTCAAGCTTCTCGAACAGTTCCATGCCTACATCCCAACTCTCAAAAGGCATGAGCTTGTCGTTTACATCAAACTCAGACAATTGAACGATCGATTTTGGATGATAGTAGACACGGCTGTAGTCAGACCAGTACCGGACTGACGATGCACTGAGTGGGGGAGGATCCAGGCCGGCATCAAGGTGCTCCTGGTAGGCGGACTGTGGAATAGTCTCGGCTGCGCGCTGAACAATAGGCTTGGATGGCCAAACTCCGTTTTGGTCTAATATACTCCTGTCGTCCTCGGCCTCGTACAGCGCATTGATTTTTCTCATACTGCCAAAAGCACCTTTGAGGTCGTATATGAGCGTTCTTGGTGTGAAAGTATCGGATCCATCTGGAGCAACACCTGGCCTGAAAAGTACATCATGGTTGACAGGCGACTCTGGCTCAGGTGGATATGTGAAGTAGGACTCCTATGAGGATGTCAGGTCAAGCGTAATGAGCAATTTGGCACAATGGATCATGAGACAGATATGTGAGGTGACCAGAACAGTGGGCGCAAGAGGAAGCAATGTATGTGAAAGAGTGTGCGAGCTCGATATTTCCAGCGTTAGAAGTCAGTGCGCTATGAAACTGGTTCGCGGGGGTGGTGATTGACGGAATGCCAAGATCTCGCGACTTACCTGTGTATTCCAAAAGTGAGTGCCCAGGTAGTTGCTTTGCTTGCCGAACTGTAAAGTCACGACTTCGTGCATCGTGAACAAAGTTGCGTGACAGAGTCTCAAAGTAGCTTGTATAAACGACGAGTTAGTGTTAGTTTAAGGGAGTGAGATGAATTAAACACCGATAGTGCAGATGGAGGCAAAAGGTGATTGGTTAGGTCAAGCTCTGCTTTTGCCCCGCACGTGGACACGCGACGAGGAAAGAGCGACTCCACTACAGCAGTGACGCTCCATTGCTGCTTGTAAAAATTCGAGATAAAAATAACCAAGTGAAGTTTCGCGTACGGGGCAAGGAATTGTACTGGTTGATTGTATTGGCCTATGGATGTTTAGTGATTTTACATATTGTCTTAACCCATAAGCTGCAACTGATCGGTTGGCGGCCATCTGGTCTGCGCAAAGCTCAAACATCGTTTGATGCTCTGCAAATACTTCCTGGTCATCTCGTCACTCATGATATGTGCCGCGTTCTTATCGCTTTCATGCAGCTTTTCTCGCGCACTTCTCTCGTGAATGCCCACCATGGTAACACCGATGGGCCATGCCGCCTTACCAATACTAAGACGTAAATATCCATCATTCGCGTCGACGTATCTTCGCTCCTGTGCAGCGTGCACAATCTCTACAACGGGTTCGACGATGCTGTCTGGAAGATCGAACTTTTCTAGCTTCTTGAATAGGGGTCGCATGTTTTCACGTGCTTGCACCATAGCAGCATAGGCTTGTTTTCCTTGATAACTCTCTTTGACTTCGGCATCTCGACGTAGGAGCGTGAGATCCCATTCTTTCAGCACCATGGTAAAGTAGCTCGCTAGTTGCCTGAAGAGGAACTCACGGCCTTGCTTGTCCTTGGGTACCTGGAGATTGACCTTCATGTCCTTCTCGGGTACTAGTTGTAGTGTTGTGGGTATCGGACCGTCAGTCATGATGGCTGCGAGGCTGTCCGCGCCTACGCGCTTCTTGTATCGCTTTAGACGTTGTTTGTGCGTCTCGCCGAACAGTCGCGCTGGTTCATCGAGGGCTCTCAGCTTTGCGACCAGCTCTTCGTCTTCGATGTCTTCCTCTTCAGGTACCGGTGTACCATCTCCTTCGCCTTCCTTGTTCTTGGACGGAAGATCAGGAAGCCCTAGTCGCTTTCGCCGCTGCCTTTCCTCTGCCTCTTCCTCTTCTTCTCTTATGCGTCTTGATTCTTCGGCCATGCGCTTTCGCTTTTCTCGGCGCTCAGCTTCTCTTTCACCCTCGTCCTCCTCAGCTTTGCGCTTCTTCTCCAGCCGCTCCCGCCGCGCCTTCTCGGCAGCTTCTTGCTCCGCGACGTATGCAGCTTGCCGTTGCGCTTCGATCTCGCTGCGCTTCAGGTACTTTTTCTCGGTTGACTCGGCAGGCGAGGCTGTGTCTTTGCCCTTCTTGATGTGAGCGGACATCAGCTTTGCGAAGTCCATGTTTGCGATTGTGATGTCCCGTGTGTGGTGTGATTTGACGTGTCAAGGATGGGTGAGTGACGGTTGCGACCTGGGCATTCACCTGGGCTGCAGGGTACTTGCCGAAGGATGGCGCTAGTGGGAGCTCTCCGCGTCGCGCTCCTTCACTCAAGCTCTCCAACAATACTTCCGCATCCCGCGCCTGACGTCACACTGTCACGAAATTCCCACGACTTTGTCGCAGAACCATCGCGAACATCCTGCTATATCCGCCATCCTGACTGCCTACAAGGCTGCATAGCTCGCCATGGCTGCTCCTGCGAAGATTGACCGTCAAACAACAACGCCCTTCCTCTTGCGACTCTTCTTCAAGCAGGGCTCATTTAACAGGTATGTGTTTCTGTGTCTATTCGCTCATTCAAACCGGCTGTTCGCCTGACAAACCAAAGGCTAGACGAGTTTGACCCAGCACTACCACGCCTTCCAAGAAACGTTCAAATCTACACATGGCAGAGCTGTAGTCTGCGCGAACTATGCACGCTACTTCTCAGCGCAGTTCCGACATTACTACCACAACCGTATACTGGATCGCGTATCGCATTTCGACTCGTCTACCCAGACATCCAAGGCTCCAACCGGCCAGACGCACCAGGACGCTTCATATCGCGAGACATAGGCTCGGTCATTGTAGGCGCGCCATCACGGAATGAGGACACCGACATGGAAGGTGCCGACGGCGAAAGTGCTGCAGAGGCTCTCAAGCAACTCGATGGTGACCCAGACAAGACATTGGCGGATGTCAGGTTTATGATAGGCGACTATGTAGCATGTGCTATACTCCCGCCGCTGCCCGACGGCAGTGTACCAGCTGCCCCTCCGCCACTATCTGGACCGGGCAGGGGACCTCCAGGACAGTACGGGCGGGGGCGCGAGAACGGTTTCGGTGGAAGAGGCGACTATGGTGGGTTTGGCAGAGGGGGCAGAGGAGGTGGAGGTAGATTTGATGACGGTAGACTAGGTAGAGGCGTACCATTTGGTGAATGGAGGAGAGGCGAAGCACCGCCAGAGCGAGAGCCAGGCTTTGGAAGAGGAGGAAGAGGGCGAGGTGAAGATGACTGGCGCGATCGTGGCAGAGGCAGAGGACGGTGGTAGGAAACAATATCAGTGATGAACTTCATTGCATCCTTGCTGCGGCTCGAAGACGGCACCGAAGCCGTATGAGCTAGCAGCTATATGAGACTTGCAAGTATCTTTCGAAACGCGTGAGTGGCTGTAAATGCTCTCAAAACTCAGAGCTAACGCTGATCCTGAGGAAGGTAATGCAAATGCATCCAAATCTCAAGATTCCAAATCGTTGGACTGCCGCCAGACTCTGAGCGCCTCTTTACCTTTTCACCTGCTTCCTCTCAATCGCTCCGGTGCATTCTCATGTTAAGCAAAATCCCTGGACATCATCACAGTGATCACGCTAGGGTAAAAGGGCAGTCGCGCTTTGGGTAACCCTTCCTGGCTGTGAATGTAGAGAAGCCGAGCTCCAAAGATCTGCCGTTACGGGTCTACAGGTACCACTCCGCTGTACTGAGGCAGTCTCCTCACTCTCTACCTCTGTAGCTACAAGGCCCAGTCTAGCCTGATCCACATTGTCGCCGCCTTCGTCTCTTTAGCCGCCAGGTGGAACACCCTAGACCGGTGCCATACTGCGCGGTGGACTCCAACCCAAATAGTTCACGCCGACTGCGCCGGTCTACGAAACCGTTTCTTGTGTGTGGGTAGAACTAGAAGGGAGGAAAACCTCTGGACACGAGTGGAGCGAAATTAATGATAACTTGCAACCTTACTTCTGTCCCAAGAAAAGGTTGATCCCAAGTTAGGACATGACGTCTGTGGATACATGTGGTCTATATCGATCAGAGCAGTTCAGAGAAGTGTTAACATGTCCGGAAGATGCACCAAATCTACTCATCAAGCATCAAGTGTGCTCATCAGGCTACGCGGAGAAGACACGAACTACGATATTGATCACATGATAAGCTATTTATAACGCCTGCAAAGATGTGTTTCCGATCGTTGCAAAAACGACGTGATACATCGACACTGTCGCTGATGCGTTGCTCAAGGATAAATGGGGAAGGCGTACTCGGACAGCCCAAGAAGGTGCACCAGCGAGTGAAAACTCGCTGGTGCTGGGGGATCTTGAGACATCCCGTGGAAAATTCTGATCGGCATTATAGAATATGCAAACTCGACGTGTGAACCTCTCGGTTCAGCTGGTTCTCGGAGCCACCGTAGGTCGGAGTTCGCACGGGCTTGCCGCCATAATCACGATACAGGACCAATACCGCTACAAGACCTTGGATATCCGTCCCGCAACAGATCTGCGTCCGATTCTCAAGCACTGCTCACATGACATCTCCCAGCCCCCAAATCACATTCGCGCTCTTTTCAAGTCATGTCTGTGCATGGCGATATCACTCACGCCATTCACCAGGTGGTAGTAAGAATAGTAGTGTCGGCACGCTGCAGAGCTGAGATGGTGTGTTGGACCTCATGGTTGGGGACAAAAAGGTGTGGAGGCGAAGCAAGCGATGTGACATACGCATATACACATGGGGTAGCGGATGCGGGTGAAAGGGACAAAGAACGTCATCTCACATTGAGAGAAACATGCAGCTGCATTGTCAAGCTTGAACTCATGGCTCACTAAACATTGTCGTTCTAGAAGGCGGGAAATTTGAGGTCGCACAGTCCACTTGGGCACCTTTGGCGTTGATAAGCTGAGTCTGGAAGATCACATGACTGAAGAGCTGATCATGATTGGCAGGCACTACCGACATTCCACCAACAAGTTTGCTCGGGTCGCTGAAGGTTCGTCTGTCCACTTGCATGCCATGTATGCAGGGTTTCCGAGAACATCCACGCAAGGGCTTTGTTGTCTCGTCAGAGATGCGTCTACCGACCGCTCTTCTGAGGCTGACAGAAGGCTCGCAGATAGTTTCTTCGCGTCCAGTCCGGGTAAGATGCAGCATTAGCGACATCTGGCGTGATTCGCTGTAAGCGGGAGACGTTGATCAGGTGATCCACCCTGTACGCTAGATGTGAAGGAAGCATGCAGGGTCGTTAGCTGGAGATTAGACGCCATATACGAAGGCCTATCGACACGATCCTGTGGCAGACCCGGCAATCACAGCGGAAGCTATCGTTAGCGGGAGCTTGGCAATCATGCAGAGTGCGTCAAAGAAGAGATGATGGTTCAATGAAGGAGGGACATGGGTGTTACACCGCATGTCGCGCAAGATGCGCCTGGCTACCAATCAGTACGAGCTAGTGGTGTGTAGCAGGTCAACCGATGTGCAGACATGGGCAGAGACTTCAGATGCAGACTCTCAATCCTAAAAAAGACCTTGGGCTTGGGCTGAGGCACAGACATACTGAGGCAGTGAAGATTGGGTTGATAGGTTCGATTCGATTCGATTCGTCTTGTTTGAATCTCGATTCGACTCACGCATGCAAGAGCTCAGGCCTTGTCGCATCAACCTCAAGCGCATGCTAGAGGCTCAGTCGATATTGAAAGATGTGCGCACACCCAACCGTCACTCTATGTTGTTCGTGCCTGATCTAGAAGGCCTGCATACCAAGTGAAGCCGTTGTATGCAAGGGCATGAATGACTTATGGTTCCGGTCGGTACCTGCCTCATCCCACATGGCCGGCATCCGTCCTATCTGGACCCGGGCCAAATGGTTAACGGGTAGTTTATCGGATGAGGACTGGCCAATTATCACCAGTCGTTGTTCTGATTGCATCATGGAAGGATTGACAGTGGGGAAGTGGATCACCTCCCAGCAGGTAGCGCAGAAAATGCGGTCAGTACGGTTTCGGAAGGACCGATGGATATGCACGTTATCTCTTTGACGGGTCGTAGACCGTTTTGGATGGTCCCTGTACGTCTCCGGGAAAAGCGGATGTGCTTGTTGTAGGTATTACTTTGAAAGATCGAAGGACATCTTCGCTTACATTGTCACTATGCTCTTCTTTTGCGTCTATATTGGGTAAGACGTCGTGACTTGGCGTCTTTATTTTGGTATGCATAGAGGTCAGTTTCTGTAATCCTGGTCAGACTACAGCTATGATTCTCCCTATTGTGGGTTGAGGTGCGGCATCGAGACCTTTCTCTCGCTCTTACCAAACCGTTTCTACCTACGCAGGGTTGTGCACCCAGTTCTTGGAAAGCTCCCTGGCTCGAGATTCCCATGTCTGAGAGTCATGTCATGAAAACACTGATATCATCGTTAGCCTCGATACCCTGTCACCGTTCCTACGAGCGCAACCTAGAAAGACAAGGCAAAGCGAACCCAAATACTCTAGGACCAGATTAGTTGGCGTGGGATTTCAAGCCGCGATCAGAATAGGCGTTTAATGCGGGTGAGTCCTCGGGTTCTAATCTGAGAACGGTTGCTGTGCCACTCTCCTATTGGCTTGTTTAAGCGCTGCGGCGCGCGGAAAGCTATTATGGCCTCCCATACGTCCACCCGAACCGGCTTCCAACCCACGAATGATAGATTGTTCTTCTTCCTTGACGAAAAATTCGCTCGTAGATCTGACGATGGTATGTGCTGGTGGATCTGCCCTCCCAACGCATTCTCAAGGTCGGGGCTGGTGGGATGCAGATCCGAATCGATCACAATCTCGCTTTGCCGGATGCGGGACAAAACAATATCGGCGTAGAGTCTGCAGTCTCGATCGGTATTCCTCCATCGTCAGATCGTATCTGGGCATCTGTAATCGTGCAATATTCCGACACTGACGTTCGCATCTAACACACCCTCATTAGAAGGTCATCCTGTATTCATGGTCAGTGCGCAGGATTCCAGCTTCTAGATAGACTACGCAGCTTCCTTTGAGGCTTTGAAACGTTGCTCTTCCCAGGGTATAATCTTAGCTACCATGTAATGTACGCTTTGGTGCACCACTCATGGGCTGCAACAGCCAGCCAACACTAACACACCCCTCACAAGAATTAGCG